TTTTTTTTAATCCTGGTTTTCTCTTCTTAAAGAGAAGACAAGGCCGAACACTTCTGTCCAGACAGCCTCCCGAACGAAGTAAAAAATCCCGAGCTAAAATGTACCCACGGCCACAAATCCACCGCAGAATTCAAGGGCAAAGGTTGACCTTTCATTTCGATTCTCTAGCCACACAATCTCAGCCCTGCGATCGACGCCAGGCGGCTCTTCGTGTCCTCAGTGAAACGTTAAAACGTTTGTAGACATCCGAGTTCTTTTTAAACACAACACAACGACCGTTGAAATTGGCTTGGTAGCCTCATCATGTTGGCAAACCAAGACTCGCAGGGGTACGAAGCCTGAGGGAACCCCGGGTTTTACAAGAAGTTTTGTTGACGAGTTGAGGTCTAGTACCCCCGCGAGACTTGGCGATTTTTCCCCCGAAAATCGCATCGCTCCACTTTCAAACTTCGCAGCATGAAGGTCAAAAGATGCACAATTCTCCTCGTACCTTCCAATCGAAAATCCATCCAAACAGACCGGAGCTAGCCCTCGAAGAAAATCTCACAGTATTTGAGCGCCTGGAATACGTTGCAAGATTCTCACGTGCCAGCCAGAAACCGTCACGCTGATTTCTCTTTTCTGATTGGACGACGTTATTTTGAACTGGTCAATCAGACGTGACGGTTTCTGGCTGGCACATGAGGATCTTGCTACACATCCTAGGCGCTCAAATACTGTGGGTTTTGATTTTCTTCGAGGGCTAGCTCCGGTCCGTTTGGATGGATTTTCGATTGGAAGGTACGAGGAGAATCGTGCATCTTTTGACCTTAATGCTGCGTAGTTTGAAAGCGGAGCTATGCGATTTTCGGGGGGAATATCGCTCGGGCGCTTGAACCCTTTCAAAACAAGGCTTCCACCCTTGTCTTTCTTTTATGCATTACATTAACGACGAACTCAGACTTATTGAAAGTCGCTCAAAAAAAAAAACATTTCTGAGGCAAAAGGACGACTATACACCACAGGTAAAGTAATTCAACGTTTATTTATCAATGATTTATGTACATAGTCAGCAATATATCACTATAGGTGAGGCAAACGGTAAATCTGGTACATTCACTATAAAACAACAGTCGGCCGCATAATCAGATTGTATGGGTCCCTGTGCAACAACGAATTGGATAAGGAGGAAAGAGTACTATATAACCCCATACATTAATTATGCATTCCACTTCTTTGTCAGTTCACGACAAAACTTTAAAAACAAAGTCTACTAGTCTGAATGCATAATTAATGTATGGGGTTCTATGGTACTCTTGCCTTTTTTTAACTATGGTTCAATACTTGTCAAGTACGATTCGATAATTCGAACATAATCACTATTACTATTATTGTACAAGCGATCGTGAATGTTGGTTTGCTCTTCGCATGGAATTGTGTCAGTGCTTAGTAGAAAAACACTCTTAGTAGATGAATACTCTTGATGACTGTGATCTACAAGAAAAAGCTTTCAATATGACTAATGTACTTGAACATAATGATGTTACACTGTTAATAAAAGTACAAAAATTCAGGTCTCGTTATGCAAAGTATGTATTTTATAATTGTACTCGTGTTTTGTGTGAATGCCATGGCTTTGTAGTTTCGAATAAATTTTACGCGTGGTGAATGCTCAAGTGAGGTTGATTAGCAGAGGGACGAGATACGGAACATGAAGATTTATTCCGCATTTCTTATTAAATGAACCCAAATTTCACAGAGAACAGTTATAAACATCGTTAGCATACAAGAAACGAGTTCTACGAATTCACCCTACTATGGCACTTATTAAGCTAATAACTGATAATCATTAATGTTTTCACCATCTTTTTTTCTGAGTTAAGTTACATTTTAAAAGTTAGTAGGAGTTTTAAACCAATTGCCTTAATTAAAAAAAACTGAAAGGCTTAAGTTCCAAGAAAGACAATCAACCAGAGCACCGCGAAGAACTGGAAGGATTAGGTGAGGTTTATTAGCGGAGGGACGTAATACGGAACATGAAGAATTTATTCCACATTCCTTGCTAAATAAACCCACAAAACAAGCACCATGAGAAAACGTTTTATGATCATAATAATGACTTCTGAGAACAGTCGAAAACATTCAATAATAAACCAGTTCCACCGATTCAATTTATTATGGCATGTAAAGAAAACAATTAAAAACTTTATCTTACTCTTGAAAGAATTTTCCATTTGGATTAACCTTTCATTCTTATTTGATTGTGGAGTAAAAGTTCTCCCATGCGCCTAGTTTTATAAAGAACTGATTAAGAGTCCTTTTTACAGTTGTGGACTTGGTGGCCAAGCCTTTGAACAGGAGTGAGGCTAAGGGTGTCCTTGTTATGATAGAGATGTTGCTGCTTTTCAAATACAAATTTCTTTGTTATCATGCTAACTTGATACAGGTCTCTATCACAACAGGGTCACCCTTAGCCTCACTCCTGTTCAAAGGCTTGGCCACCGAGCCCACAACTGTAAAAGGGACTATTCGAGTTAATTTTATAGAATTCGTGCTGACAGCGGCAGCTGGGGGTAGCTTCCCAAAGGTGTTTTACTCAAATAAACAACTTTCGAACAGATTTAATTGAACCCTTTTATTATTAAAAAAAGACCGTTGAAAATACATCAGTGTTACTTACTCAAGCGCTCCTCATTATAAAGTAGCTAACAACTTGATTCGTTGAGATAACATTAAAAAAAAATCGATAAAAAAAGCAACAACAAATTTCCTTTTTTACCTTTTGTTTTAAAACCTGTACGGCTTTTACACACAGTCAAAAGAGTGGAAACCTCACTATGAAATAAAAAAAACTACAAATATCAACGTGCCAGGGTTCGTTTCTCGTTGCCAGCCTACTTCAGTAGTGCCAGACCTAAGGCAGAGCTTACGGTCATCAGGATCACACTAACAGAAACTGAAGAGCCCGCGTTACAGTAGTCGCTGTCACAGCAGCCCACTACGCATTCTCCGTCTTTAAGGTCGTCACATACTTTTTTGGCAGCATCACAACCGAGACTATTAGAACAAGAGTTAGCCACTGCAGTGTTGCCGTCTTTTTTTGCCCAGACCCTCATGCATTCATTCATTCCGGGTGGACAGTCTTTCGATTTGCTGTCCTTGTTTGCTTCCAGTTTCTTCTTACTGCAGTCATCTTCGGTTCCTAAACAGACATAGCACTTGAGGCTGTGAGCTGAAATGAAAGATAATGTCAATGTATTGCAATGCATTGCTCGACTATTTTTCGATATAAATTTCAAAGTTTTTCACACCTGTGGGCAAACCCATTGGAAGTTTTGGACTTTTCATACTCTAAAGCTTTCAAACTCATTTTAGGCTAGTAAAAAATTCTGTTTAGCAGGTTTTGCAATTAAGTGAAAATTAAACATGAGTGGAATTAAATTTGCGCTCAGGTATTAGTGGTATTCCGTGCCTTTCATTCTGTGTATGGCTGCGTCCATGAGCGTCCAAAAATGAATAGGAAAACCTCGTTATGTATTCGTATATAAATTAACGTGATTTATGTGTTAGATTCGGTATAAGATAACTTTTTGTCATGTATTTTTTGAGAGCAGTGGAATACAATAACAGCTATATAGATAATTCCAGTGAATTCCTGATATTGCTAGCTATGCAAGGGTTCCCTCGCTACAGCCATTTTTATTGTGGCTTTATTGTAAACTTGACATCACACTAAGGACTTGTAATATTCAAGCGATGACGTATTCTTTATGTTGAAGGGAAAGAATCGATTTGTGCGAAATTGTCTTATGTTACAATTTCCCCGTGTTCAAACCGAAGAAGATTAAGAAGTATCGATTAATGCGTTTTGGGTGTGATCACTGTTCTGCTCGAACTTCATGCCCGGCTCTTTCATCATACAGGTAGCAAACCGGAAAAACGAGCAATTGTTTCTTCTCAAAAGGAATAGCACGGGATAAATAATACCTGGAAAGTTTCTTTGAGATTGAGCGATTGTCAGAAGCAGATTACCTTCAGTTGTATCCGTCATTTGTTTCCCATTCTGCACGAACAAGGAAAATTTTCAGTGTGGCATTCAAGTGTGATTTGACCAAACAGCAAATCCAGGCTACGTTAGAGAAGAAGTACCTAGGCTTAGCAGGATTCTCACAAAGATTACTTCTCACTTGATGATAGCTGGCGTTGAAACATCTCAGCATTATCAGGGATTGAATTAAGGTCACAGAAGCCAAAAACCAGAATAAACTCCACAAATTGAAATTACAAGCAAACAGGGAGGTTGGCAACTTAGCCACATGATAGAAAAATAAGCACAGACGATAAACAGCTCAATCAAAGAGTTAACTTGTGCTTTAGCAGTCTTCATCCTTTCCTATTAGTGAAGCGAAAGAATCCAGTGAGCCGAGCGGACGACACGAGTGGGTATGTGGCATCATTCAGTTCAGTTTCACCTTAACGAGGCCACCCTAACCACACTCTTATGGACAACGTAAATCGATCTGACGCCTTTCTTACCATGCTTAGGTGACTATTAACTATGAACAAGTTTTTTGAATGTTGCAAGCCCGCTTAAACGAGCTCATAGCTTGAAACGAGCTTGAAAGCGATAAAAAGCCAGGTGGACATGAGAGATTGCTCAGACGCAAGACGTGTCTTTACCGTTCTCTTATTTCACAGTTAACTTCACAACAACCAACAGAATAAACTTACCAGTTGCAAGAACTGCACAGAAGACAAAGATGCTCAGCACAAGACCCTTCATTCTGCGTATCTCAATGGCTTCACGAACGATGCAGCTTCCTTTGACAAAACCAGCGCCCTCAATAAACACGCCGAGAAATAGGGCGTTTATATGACAGACCAATAACCAATAAGATTACTAGTTTTAAATAGAGAGCCAATCAGGACATTGCACATCACGTGCCTTGTTATCGGCATCGAAAGGGGTTGCGACACTGCATAGTAATCTCAGGAATGCGGTAACGAAACCTCGGGTTATTCAAACACGGAAAGTATGATGAGTCTTATGCTCTTATCGAGATAAACGTGTCGATGCACGGCGCAAACAAAACAGTTGTTTCCGGTGGGAACTATCCTTGAACTTTTCCTGCCACGAAATCAGGTTGATGCACACATTGCCTGTTGACTGATGATTTGTCACAGATAACCGATGATAACTCATGGGCTTTTAAAATCTCGTCAATGATAATACCCACTACATTGAGGCACTTGAGAATTTACCTTCTGGCGTTTTCCGAGACAAAGCCCGTCAACAATTCTGTATGTATGAGCGAATCAGAACTAAGTTCGCCTTTATAGCAGGAAACTGACACGTGCTCTGCACTTTTCTTCTGGTGTTTCGCTCGAAAGAGACACCACAGGCAGCCCAAGCTCTCTTTGAGAACCACACAAGGAACACAATTTGCATATCGACTTATAAGGAATTGCATGGGATTTTCTACAAGATAGCCATAAAGATAGTTAAAAGTGAACATATTAAATAAAAATGGCTTACTTTATTCCATACGTGTGTTGCTTGCTCCTGGTGTCGTTATTTTACCGATTTTACTTGATTTAATCGGTCTTTTTAATCCTGGTTTTCTCTTCTTAAAGAGAAGACATTTTAGCTTGGGATTTTTTACTTCGTTCGGGAGGCTGTCTGGACAGAAGTGTTCGGCCTTGTCTTTTCTTTGAGAAGAGAAAACCAGGATTCAAAAAAACCGCTTAAATCAAGTGAAATCGGTAAAATAACGACACCAGGAGAAAGCAACACACGTATGGAATAAGGTAAGCCATTTTNGAAGGCCGAAACAGTACTGTCTGCAGTTAGATATAGCTCTTTGGCATACAAAGCTTTGCTTTCATGTCCAAATTGAGCACTCTATCTAGGATGAGTCATTGCCGTTGCAATTGCGCATGCTCGCTGGTTTACTCTAGTTTGAGCACTCTGGCATGGCTTAGACGATACCACAAAGGTTGGGTCGTTTGGGGTGACCGTCTCGGTTCTCCCCCATCCTAGCATTAGCACTGCACTGATGAGGCCCAGAAGGCCGAAACAGTACTGTCTGCAGTTAGATATAGCTCTTTGGCATACAAAGCTTTGCTTTCATGTCCAAATTGAGCACTCTAACTAGGATGAGTCATTGCTCTGCAATTGCGCATGCTCGCTAGTGTACTCTAGTTTGAGCACTCTGGCATGGCTTAGACGATACCACAAAGGTTGGGTCGTTTGGGGTGACCGTCTCGGTTCTCCCCCATCCTAGCATTAGCACTGCACTGATGAGGCCCAGAAGGCCGAAACAGTACTGTCTGCAGTTAGATATAGCTCTTTGGCATACAAAGCTTTGCTTTCATGTCCAAATTGAGCACTCTATCTAGGATGAGTCATTGCCGTTGCAATTGCGCATGCTCGCTGGTTTACTCTAGTTTGAGCACTCTGGCATGGCTTAGACGATACCACAAAGGTTGGGTCGTTTGGGGTGACCGTCTCGGTTCTCCCCCATCCTAGCATTAGCACTGCACTGATGAGGCCCAGAAGGCCGAAACAGTACTGTCTGCAGTTAGTTATATATATATATATATATATATATATATATATAAAGTGTGACTTGATTTTCGTAGAACAGTGCTCAATACATAGAAGTAGAGCGAAGTATATATTGTGGGAGGAAAAAGACAAGTAAACTACAAGTTCATCCCTACAAGCCTGTTTCGTGGTCGCCCACTCATCAGGGGATTTAATGAGAATAAACTTTACCATTGCTTATATACAATATAATTTGCATGATCTAACTAGTCTAATTTATGCAGCGCGAAATTGACAGTTTAGTTGTTGCGTAGGAGGGCTTTGCTTCTGTGGCGGCATGAAGACACGAGTTCATTACGTTTGTTTAGTGTTGATAGTTCGGGCCGGCAGATGATTAGGAATTTTTCTTTGAGGCAGAGGTTACATCTTTTAGTTGAGCTGTTATACGGTGAGTGCGATGAGAGAATGCGCCAGGAAATAAAGTGATCGATGTTGTTGTCTTTGAGGGTCCAGATGTGCTTGCTGAGTTCGGTAGAGTTTCTGTGTTTAGCGTGGCGGAATGATGCGGTGTGGTTTCTGTATCTTGTTTTGAAGTCATTCTCTGTGAGTCCGATGTACGTTTCTGTCACGCAAAGACAACAACACGACAGAAACGACAACAACACGACACGCAAAAAGACAACAACACGACACGCAAAGACAACAACGCGACAGACTTGTAGGGATGAACTTGTAGTTTACTTGTCTTTTTTCTCCCACAATATATATATACAAATGTGAAAGAAGGAAATTATTACTAGTTACTCGAGTTTCACGCTCTAGGCGATCATCAGACTGAGAGTTGTCTACGAGAAGTAAACGGTTATGAATGTTTAAATTTAAGAACGGTTAGAAGTCGTCACGCGTGCGCTTCTTTTGATTGGATGCATTGAAATACTTGTTTTCGTGGCGGCATTTCGTTACAAGCTCAGATTTCTTATTTAAGAGAGAGGCATTTTGAGCGGTCAAGATGCAAAGTTTTTCAGCCAAACATAGGTTGCAGCGAGATGGTTTGCCTTTGTATGCGCTTGCCCTTATGATGATGCGCCAGTTGATCTTGTAGTCATTGCCTGGCTCCTTTAAGTCCCAAATGTGTTTTGAAAGTACAGTGTCATGTGAGTATTTTCGGTTTTTGAAAGAGAGTTTGTGGTTGTTGTATCTTGTTTTGAATGCGTGTTTTGTCATTCCAACATTGGAATGACTCAACCAAGAAAAGGCACCTCGAACAAGTGCCACTGCAAAAATCTGATATAATTGCGGTTGCCATAGCATGCACGATTTAGGGCAAAATTCCTTTTCAGGCAAAAAAAAAGTTTTCTCAGTGATTGTTCTAATTTCTCATAATACCAGAACTTTCGCTGGACCGTTGATGCGTAAATCAGTCACAAAGTTTGTTTCCCATCGAGAAATCTTTAAGAACATCTGCTTGCCACCGGAAAGTGACAGTAAATACTATGTCGGTTTGGACGAGAGCAACCCACAAATATTAACTTCTTTTGCCAGCGAGGATTTGAAGCATAAAAGACATCAACCGTTTATAGAAAAGTCAAAGTACGGAATGGAAGTGAATATGAATCCGATCAGTCAGAAAAGAAAAGATTTAACAAATCAGTTAGCGCCACATCTGATGCCGTTAAAGGGAGTCCGAGGTGGACCGGCCAAGATCATTTTCTACTGAGCGAGCGCGTCACTGAGTATACAGACTCTGCTGAAAATGACAAACTTGAAATAAATCAACAGAGGTAAACGGAAATATAATCAACCTGTCAAGACGGAGACATCGGTCACAACCTTGATTGAAATCCAACCAATAAGCAGGTGTGCTGTGTGCTGTGTGCTGTGTTCCAAAGTTTTCCCCTCGATCTGTTATTGAACTAATAGTCTGCATAAAATTATTAACAAAGCCCTCACATAATTTGTTTTTATCGAGATATGAAGCATGACTTACACCGGGTTAACACATCATTTTCGGTTATGTCGGGAAGCCGCTGTAAAGAATGCAGTGACTGAATTTTCACCTTGTTTTACCCCGGCGACCAAATCACTTCGTTAGAAAGCCGGCTATTTCCATTCAAACAAAAAGCCCAGTGATTGGTCTACTTTAGGATTGCGCAAAAGCCATTCTCACCTCACCATTAGTTCCGTTTGTACCAACGCAACACGCCTACCTAATGCGAGTGACCCTTGTTCTTTCATAAACTTTTTTGAACATTATAAGAGAATTTTAATCTAGTTTAGAAAGCTTGTCTGTCTATCCTCATAAATTAAATCATTGATACAAAGGCAACAGATGTCATTTTGAAGATTTTTGAACAGTGCTTGTCATTATCATGTTTGCGGCTTGATATTTCCATCTCTTCTTCTTCTTTTGTGTAAACATTCACTAAATTCTACAGAAAAATATTGAACACGTGGTGATATTTTCCAAATTGGATACGATATAGTGTTAAGCCGGAACGATGAAATTATTGATTTGTTTGGATGCGGCTGTCGTACAAATACACTGATGTTCTATCTTCTTGTTGTCAATGAACTACTTGCACACGGACCAAAAGGATCTGATCTGAATACAGATATCATTCAAAGCGCCGATGGATAACAGCTATTAGTCGCATTAATCTTGAAGGAAACCAGGGAGAACTCAGCAACAGTTCGGGAAAAACTGACTGCGACTGCGCCGACATATGCCACTCTCACCAACAGTACCCAAATTGTTTTGACGGCAATACTGTCAATATTATACTGCACTGGCTTTAAACTTAAGAGCTGAAACAGCGAACGACAGGAACACTGAGCAAAACTTGTCAAAAGATGTCGAATGATCCATCCAACACTACCCCATCCAACACTACTCATGGCAACACTACCACTGTATTTATATAAGGACTCGAAGAAGGAATATTACAAGCAGTTTTTCTTTTTTTTATCGCCATTTGTGGCGTCTTCGGAAATCTATATATTTGCAGTGTAATTTACAGAAACAAGAATTTAAGAAATCCAACTTTTATTTTTCTCGTGAATCTCGCTGTAGCAAACATCGGAGCGCTCACCCTGTGTAGCCCGTTTGCGCTCATTAACAGCATACAAAGAAGATTCACAATGAAACAGCACTGGTGCCTCACCAATGGATTTCTCAACAATTTTTTTTTTTTGTATTTCCATTTTCACCTTGTCCCTCATCGCCAGTCAGAATTATTTTTCAGTTGTTAAACAACCATCTTGCGAATGGCTCCGGATTACAAAAAATAGGGCCAAGTTTCATTTGGTTGCAATGTGGGGGCTTTGTTTCGCATTTTCTTTTCTATCGCTGGGCCCTTTTGAAAACTGGAGTTACATGGTATTCAATCCGACAACAGCGCATTGTGGAATAGCTTTCCCAAATTCCCTTGCCGACAAATTGAAGCTGTCCTTACTTGCTCTTGTGGCATTTATTATTCCAATTTGCGGCATGTCATTCGCTTATGGTCGAATTTACTTCAAGGTGAGTTCACACGAAGGAAAAATCAACCAGAACTCTGAACGTCGAGGGAACCAACAGTCGGCTGTAACCAAAAGACTCGCTATCACATTATGCGTGATGTTCAACACTTTTCTTATTTGCTGGTTGCCATTTTTCATTCTTATTACACTGGCTATTGTCTCAGAGGATGTGTCAACCCTACCTGGGTACCTTGGTCGCATTGCATACTGGAGCGGATACCTAAATTGCGCCATTAACCCTTCTCTATATTGTTTACGGTCTTCTGCTTTTAAAGATGTGATCCGCCGACCTTCATCAGCAAGTGCAGAAGGATCAATCAAACCGTTAGTCAACAGGAGTCAGAGGGCTTTCTCACTACCCGCCATATCGTATAATACGGAGCACCCCATAACAAAACGGGTTGGGCGGCAAAGTTATCCGAACGCCGGTCGAGGTATATCGACTCACGATTTGCCAATATGTGATGAGGTAGATGTGGCTCGCTTGAGAGCGTACTCTTGTTCCAGTTATGAAATAAAAGACAAAGAAAATACACAGATAAATCAACAAAGTGTACAGCTGTAGCAACATAGAGGTCTCGATACAAGCAGCGTCAAATTTGCAGATCAGTGAATCGTAATGTGAATGCGAGACATTTGGAATCTGAGCGCACGTCATCAGCTGGCGTAGAAACCCTTTTAAAGACACAAAGTAACAAGAAGACGTAATCACTTTAATCTGACTTACGCAGCAGCAATATTAAAAGTGTTTTAGTTGACGTGTGGCAATATTTTCAAGGGAAAGATGTCTATTATTTCATGGCTATGTCTCGTATCAGACAATCGGGGAAGACAAAAATGTGGGACAAAATATTTACTTGCAACTAATAGTCACGTTTTCCATAAACGCAATTCCGAGAGGAAACCAAGACTGTCAGACTCTAAAACCGATGGTAGATGGGCAACGTAACGTCTCAGACCATTCGACCCTATCGGTTTCCACGCACTACAACTATCAAAGCCTAAAATTACGCAGCAAAAATACGACTTCCCGTTTACAAAATAGGTAAATTAATAACTTTGATTGCAAAAGACCTTGACACCTAAAAAGCAGGATCTACGGTGAGACCCAACGGCTTTATGGGAATGTTCGCACAGTTACATAATCTGTGCTTTACTTTTGCTTGGGGTTAGCTTAGAGTTTAGGGTTCTTGCTGATGAAGGTAGGTGGATCACGTCTTTGAAGGCATAAAGCCGTTGGGTCTCATTGTTCTTTGCGGATGTTTTTTAGGCTTCAAGTTTTTTGCAGTCGAGTATATCTGCAATGTAAGAATCGAACACAACATTTAGTTCATGACAGTAATCTGTGTCAAACAGACTTTTTAAGGCTCCCTTGACAATGAAAAGCGTAACCTAAATTACAAATGAATAGAAGTGTTCACATAGTGAACAACAAAATGCAAAATTTGCTGTCATTTACAAAAATCGGAGTGAGACGGGATGCTGAGAAATGTCCAACACCTCTTTAAAAACGTCCAGCACTAGTATTATTCTTTTACGTGCATGCAAATAAACTTTGCTTCTGAGTGTAAGTTCAATAAAGAAAAAAAAAACATTTTATCGAAGCAAGGTAGGCAAAATTACATGAATAATGTTAAAATGGCAATCAGAGATCTATGAACGAAGCCATAACTAATCCTACCTAGCAAACTCTTGAGGTCTGTCGATGAGTTGCCCCTTCTCTCTCTCCAAATCTCTTCGCCCAAACCCTCCCTCCCCACCCTAATCTTACTCTGGAGCTTAGAATCCAAGCTTCTCGATAATTTCTTTTTTGTTTTTCTTTTTAATTAAGTGGTATGGCTGCTGTGCATGTTGCTAGCACTATCTACGTAAGCACCCTAAGAGCATCTCCAGTTTTTCTCTAACTGCGAAAACGTCTTAAATTATGAGATATTCACTTTGTTTCAAAGGTTATTTGAATACTCCACACTGCACCAAGCTTATTCCCTTAAGTATTAGTGAGCTGTAATATATTAGTTATATTGGCTTCAACCCCACAAAAGCCCTCAACTGTTCAAAAACAAAGAATGTTACAACTGTGTGAGTTCCAGTTCTTGTCCAATTTGGTATAAACCCTTTATAAAGACCAAACAGTCCTTCTTTGTGAACCGTCTTTGTTATACAGTCTATTGTTCCTCTGTAGAGCAGCGGTTTCTTGTTGCAATCCTTCTTTTGATTCATGTACCTGGTGCGCACCATGTCTATTGGTGATGAGACACAGTTTGTCACAAATCCCGCTATGGAGGAAGCCATTATGTGTAAAACAGGTCCTTCCTGGAGAATTCCAGCATTCAATATAGTATGTTTTGCATGATCATATGAAGACACAGCTGTAGCTGATACAAGTGCTGACCGTTTCACTGTAGTACTCACACCTGTCCAAAGTCCACGAATTCCTTCACTGGCAACAATTGCTTGAAATGCATGAAGTGTGTGTTTATACTGCCATTGATTTCCAGATGGCAGTGCCATTAAACGGATCTTTACCACATCAGTAGGGCAAGCTATGGCACTTCCAATTGCTCCAGCAATTGCTCCTGAGCAGACCTTTTTCCATAGAGGTGTGTGGGCGGGGTCTGTTGCTCCAAACCACTCTTTAAGAGGTTCATACAAGCCTAGTCTCAGTGTACTGTAACTGGCCTCTCTCATCAGTGAGGGAGTTATACTGAGGTAAATAAGATAAAAAGAATGTTTTTGCTAACAAGTAAAGCCTCTTCATGGTTTGTTAAAAGTAGTAAATTTTCTGAAAGCCACGCAAAACCCCCTCCACCATCTCCCTCCCCCTCGTATTGTCACTTATCCCAGATTTTCTGCCTGTCCAACATGCCACCCAAATGTATTTGCTGCACTGTATCTCGCACATTCGAACTACTGCCTGCAAGCAGGCTAACCTAAAGTCAACATTAATTACTATCCTTTTCATTTAATGAAACTATTCTGGCTAACCTTGGCCATCTTTAAAGACAGATATAAAAAAAAAGAGAAATTTTCTGGTGGTCTTTTTTATCCACCGATGCAGAGGCTTGCAAAGGGAATGGAACCAACTGTAGAAAAACTTATTCCATTAAATGAGTAGAAAACAAAAAAAAAAAATCCATTTTGATACAAGCACATAAATATGCTTGATAAGAAAAGTCATAGGCAGTTTTTGTACTTGTTTTATACAAGCATCAGTCGTCTTGGGTCACCTAAATGAAGGAATGAGTGAAAAATTGCTGTTGCATTCCTAAAAATGCCATCTATCCCATTACAAAAACAAGCTCCCTTTTCCTGCATGGTGAATCACTCAGTTACCAATTTAAGGAAATTAATACAAAGGGAGGTCTTACAAAAACTAATAATTTTTAGTTGGGCCTTTAGAGAGAGAGCCATAGAATTTTACATCATTCAACATTCAAACTAAAATCATTTCTTATTGCATAAAATAGTCTCTAAGCCATACAATTTAGGCAAACAATTTCATTAACTCTCATATTCGGCTGCTAGTGCTGACTCACCCTTTATACAGACCACGTATACCTTCCTCATGAGCAATTCTTGCTGCCCCTCGAACCAAACCACGGTAGTAACGGTTATGAAATATGTTTCTGCTTTCATGTTGGGAGCCCAATTCATTATCAAGTTGCATGCGAGTCTTAATTACATCTATAGGATTTGTAACTAGGAAGAAAATGGATTACAGTTATATTTCTGTGAAATAAAATTGTTGTTCCTTGGTCTTCTAATGTCTAACACCAGTTTCCTAACATGTTTTACCACATGGATAACCAAGGGGAAAAAAGAAGGAGTAACTGACAGTAATGGCTTGATCAAAATCCCATTTCTTTCAAGTGTCTTCAGGACTATGCTCTAGCAGTACCCAGTGACCACTTGCATCTTACTTTTGCTTTCATGTGACTTGGAATTCCAAGTTTTTTCATTAAAATCATATGCTGGGCACCTGGGATTTCACAATTTCAGAGCACTGGGCTCCCTTCAATATTTTTTGTAGCACAGGTTTGGTCTTCATTCAAAGAAGGGTCCAGTTGTACCAAAGATTCTTTACTAATGAGCAGAGATACAAGCTCAGATCATTTCAAATCCACCATTTAACATCCTAAAAATCGTATTAATTTCACCAGTTAACAGAAAAATAATTGTCTTTGAAGGGTCCTGAGACATCTTAAGGCCTAGTGCTTTAAACCAGAGACAAGTTTTGGACAACTGAGTATTATGTATGCTTATTTTACATTAAATAAGTACCGTAAATACTAAAAAATACAATGTTACAGACTTTTACTTGACTACCTGTTATAATTATGTCCCCAAGTTGGTGACTTTTCCAAGTGTTACCAAAATGTCATTACTTGCTATTCATTAAATATGCAGCTCTACTACTCAGTTATCTCACGTGACTTGCAGGAATTTAGCATTCTTTGTATGGGAACTGTGCAGGTGGCGGGGGGGAGGAAGGTGTTAAATAGGGGCAAAGGAGTGTATACAAAATAACATTCTGATAAAGTTACTTACAAGAGTTAAGTAGTTTGATATATCATTTGAGTTATGTATATCTGATATATCAATTGGGTAATGTATTCTCTGCAAATTGGCATGAAAAAGCGACTTCTCACCAAACACAAGTCCTGAATTTGTCTGATGCAATTATCTGTTTAAATTTACATAATGCACAGTACCACAACATGTCTCTTAATGAGCCATTTACAACTCAGATTGATCATATTGACTTTCTTAACAGCACCACAGCAAGCAATGAAAAAGATTAAAGGCAAGTTGTAAGATTAATATGAGAACAATCCCCTAAATCCACGAGCGGTTTCTGGGTGGGAAAGATAGACTTTTATCGTCTATCATAAAATGATAATGCACCTGAATATTCGTTTTATAATTTATTATACGGCTTAAGACATAGTCGCTGTGACATTCAGAAATTCCGTTTGGCTCAGTTTGAATAAACACTTCACTTTCCATCCTCGCAGCATAAACAGTATGCAGCATGGGCAAAGAAAAATATAACTTTGTACTGAATCAAAGAGAGCTTACCAGTTGCTGCGCACATACAGGAAAGCCCACTCAAAGCAAAGCGAACTAAATTTTCACGTTCTTTACTTGGACGCCGTGGTTGTCTCTTTTCGCACAATCCTGTCGCCATTTGGTTAAGCAGTCCTGATTCTCGTCATTTTTGCTGGTTATTTACTAGAGTCTCCGAGGCATCTTTATCGACCGTGCTCCAGAAAAACACGAAATCTTCGAAGATAAAGCGGCGGCATGGCATGCTTCGATGGGCAATCGAAGAGACGACTAATACTTCAATGATAGCAAAAAATCTTCCAGGGGAGGACCGATGGCAGCCTAATACGCGTAATTCTATCAGTCGCACAGCTTTGGTACAAACAAACTCCCTTCAGTCAGTCTAATGGAAAGAACTTAGAGAATAAAACCTACTCAAGTGAAATCCCCGGCCTGATATCTCAATACATTCGGATGACAATTTGTATCTTGCAACACGCGAATTTACAAAGGAGGACCTGGGAACGAGGTTTAAGCACAGGTGACCCACTCAACGATTAATTGACCCACTCAACGATTCTTTTGTATCCGCTCTGTAATCAACAAGATGTGCCTCAATTTCTCCATTGTCGGAAATTTAGCTTCCATCCTCAAAGAGTTCTTTTTGAAGACGCTGCTTGAGTATTTCTGGTATAGGCAGATCTCCTGGTTTGTAGCGAAAACGAAGACCCCTAAAGCTAAGACCTATGACCCGAAAACGGAGACCTCTTTTTTTCCAAAAGCATATCAACTTTGAGAAGAGCGTGCTCTGCAGCTCTCCTGATTCATCGGAAATTCGCCAGTTGTAGCCCGCAGAGCAGGCGTTCTTGTGGAGTTTGGGCGAAAATTAGGACTTTGGGCTTTCTGTTTTATTTTCCAGACCGCGCGTAAAATAGAGCGAGGCGAAAAATCAGAAGGTGGGGGGAGGGGGAGAGGCTAGGGCTAGGTTAGAACTTCTCTCCTATCCCCCTCCCCCCCCCTCCTAATTTTTCGCCTCGCTCCAGTTTACGCGCGGTCTGGGAAATAAAACAGAAAGCCCAAAGTCCTAATTTTCGCCCAAACTCCACAAGAACGCCTGCTCTGCAGGCTACGCCAGTTGTAAAGATTGTGGCCAGTAAAACATCGCTATTCGCCTTGTTTGAATTCTGGGACCCATATAAATTACTTCTGAATCAATCTGTGATGCGTTCTCCGCGATCTGTTCCCGCCTTTACCATCTCCTTTGTAGATCTCAAACGAGTTGCTTTATTGAAAAATTTGAAGGGCCGGTTACTTAATCAAAGTTTAGCCGTTGTTTAACAAAAACAGCGTTCTAAACTATCTTGAATGTAGTTGAATCTTTTATCTGAACGTTCGTGTTTGTGAACAGTGTTAAGAGTACAGAAAGCTAGCAGTGGAAGGGCATTTTTTTTTAATGAAAACAACCCTTTTAAAGAGAACACCTTGGGCCCACTGCTTGCGTAAAACCGCTGTTTGGGTTAGGTTCGTCTGAATAACCGGCGGGTACATCAGAATAGAAATACAATTATTTAAGATGCCACTGCGGGGTCATCTACACTCTCGTCACTTTTCTGCGTCAGTGTGTAATGTGAAAAAAAAAGAGACAAGAAATTCGATTTCAATCTATCGAAGAGGCATGCATATGACAAACCTCTCGGCTATGGCTGTATGGCTCCATGTTGAATTACCCTTGCTGAGTTCTCGAAATTTCCAGACGATACTATAACTTTCCGAAGATTTTTACTGATCACTTGCGTTCTTTAGAATGATTTCAGTTTTCCAAGTCGTTATTTCCCGAGCATCCCATCGAATGCCATGACCTCATATTATCGTTGAAGAACTCAAATTACACGCACATGCGAACACTTGGCTCTTTGTGTGTTTCAATCGCCTGCAGTGGTTCCTTGTAGTCGCACGCTGACGACGCTCGCCTTTCGTCAGATTCTTTCGGGAAAAAAGGCGACGGCCAGCGAACTGACACAATCTCCACGTAAAACTGAAGTTAAACACTTAGGGTTGCCGACAGTCGAAAGATGATCACAAGGTTCTCAATGTTACTGTGGCTCTGCTGTTCTGCTTCTTGGGTAATTGGAACGTTCAGTGAAAGTAAGACACGTTTTAATTGTGTAAATACATTGAGTGTTAGACTAATCTGATGAAAATATTCTAGGGGCTTTTCTCACCTAACCCACGGATTTGTTTAAAACCAGTAAATTCCAGTCACTGAAAACGATTTTATATTTGCCATAATTGCTCGTGGATGACATGAAGAGTTTCCTCTGCATATCACCTTTCCGATCCTCTAATTGACAGAGCTTATTGTTTTGCACAATGCTCTTTAGAGTCCAAAGCGCGAGTCCCGCAACGATTTTCCAGACGTGAACGGGTAATTGATGACCTGTATTTGATAACCTTCGTTTGAAAAACAGTCCCAAGAAACCTAAATATAACACAAACCAACATTAGCACGAGATCTAAGTAGTTAATCACCATTTCCTCGCGACATTCACGTGCCGCCGAACACAGACGGATTTCTCGTCCTCAGAACCGCAATATTGTCCAGTATGTTTCTTTTCCCTATGAATTTAAAAGGTTGGTTTGAATATCATATTGTAATCTCCACCTTCTCTTCCTATCAACAAGACAAACTTTTGTCCGTATCAGCTGCGCTGCCCTTTTTTTCGCAGACTACCGACCGAATTGCCATAGGTCAAGTGAGGCATGTAATTTGGTAATGTAAGAAAGAGCGCAGGACATTACATATGTCACGGATTCCGCACTTCGACACTTTACCAGAACTGTAATGATTAGGCCATAATTATTATTTCTTGTGAGGATTAGGTTTAGGTTGCCATGTGTGACACAGGTCACACGTTTAGCTTACTGCAAGAAAAAGCATGCCGCGCCGAAAGCTTCCTATGAGTGACTAGAATATGAAAGATAGCAACTTTTGGGCTCGGTAATGAAATCACGTAAAGAATGTATATATTTTTTGTTTCGTCACCGCAAGTTATCTAAACGTCAGTTACTTCTACCAGTAACAGACTTTTCCAGGACTAAGTTCACCCTCTCCCACCGAACGGTTGGGAGTTTAAGAAAAACGACAACGGCGACGCCGTGGACAACGTCGTTGAAAAATGAACTTATATTTTACCTGTGAATCTCGCGATAACCTTAAGTTAAATTAGAAATAGAAATTTAAAAACTAAGCTGTCGTCGTTCACGTTCTGCAGACCACGTTAAATTTGGTCATTACACGTTTTTTTTTGCAGAGGAAGCAAAGAAATTTACAAAGATTTATAACGCACGTACACAGCCATTGTTCTGCTTATTAAATGGTTTGTTTACTAATGTTCCCGTTGCCATCGCCGTCGTGGCTTTCTTAACTCCTTAGTTTACACACATAACTTGCACGGTGGACTCGGCTTATTTTGTGATGAAGGCTGCAAGTTTCTTTTTCGTAATATTACGAGTAAATCACGAGCATTAATGTACCGCACGTTCTGTTATCAAACGGTCAATAAGAATTTCTGATTTAGGAAACATCAAGAAAAACTCGCACAGGATAAGGCGGCAAACAGACGTCACTGATGGAGATGGGGTAAGTCACGTGTTGTCTGTATAAGTCTTGCAGCCCGACCAAGTGAAATTTACGTCTCTAGGATCGAGTCAAAGTTCTGACATAACTTTTAATCTCGATCGCTTATTTCAACAATATTCAAGTGTTAGAAAGAGGCATAGCTTATCATTGCACTTGACTGTTTTTGCTTTTTTCCTCAGGACCAACAGATTATCAATGTCATTGGGGAACCAGGAGATGCTGGAGCCGGAGGAGAACGGGTTGGTGATAAGTGTTGCTCTGCTATTGTACACACATCTGTTTTTGTTGCCAAAAAGGATGGCTATCCTTTAACCACCCCACAGGCGCAAAATTAACATGCAAAACGAAGGACGACAGACCCACGTGGCTTGAACGAGTATTTTCATTTCACTGTCAGCCTGAATGAAAATTGAAGTCCATGATATACGATAAAGAACAAATAAGCGGCATACATATATATTATATATTATATGTATGCCGTGATATACGATAAAGAACAAATAAGCGGCATACATATATATTATATATTATATGTATACATGTATATTATATATAATATATAATATACATGTATATTATATATTATATGTATATATATTATATTATTATATACATACATACATACACCCGTTTTCAAAAAGGTTTTCATATGGAGATATGTATACTTTTGTTTTCTTGCACGTGCGCTCGTGTGCTTTTTTCACGTGTCATAGTCCAACATGTGAAAAATCTCGTTTTAATGAGAAATTCTCTCTCTGTCGGGTTCTTTGTTTCACTTTGAAGAGAACATGCTGTTTTGTTCTTTCGTTTGAAAAATTCCCTCCCCTTGCAGTACAGATTTGCGATGGCGAATCAGTTGGCTTGTTTTGGGAATGAGGAAACCAGCCAGCGAAGTAGCCGAGTTATTGGGCGTCACTCAAAGAACGATTTTTAATATTTTGTGTGGTTTCCGTAGAAATGGCAATGTTGGACAATGACACGTGAAAAATGCACACGAGCGAACGTGCAAGAAACAAAAGTATATATATATATCTCTCCATATGAAAACCTTTTTGAAAACGGGTGTATATATATATATATGTATTGAAATTTCACTCCAAAAAAAGAATAAACTATAATTAATGCGGAGAAAGTTTTCCAAACTGGGCGGGCATCAAAGGTCCCAGTCTCAGCGTTGATTGGGAATTTTAGCACAATTCTCGCCTTTCAAGTCAACGCTGGTTCCTTAACATTTTCAGTGGATTCGACAATTTTTCCATTTCTTTTT